TGAGAAGCCGTACGTTTCTTTTATATATTAACAGCTACGAATGAAACGCGTAAATTACAATCATTTTCATCGAACATATATTTACCATCTATACACGGTCTTGAATTAAAAGTATTATCTTTGAAAGTTTCATAATAGAGTAAATTGGTAGAATGTTGAAATCGTTTACCTTTCAACCAAAGTTATAACTATTAACTCTGGTTATAATTTTCGGTCAAAGTTATGATTTTGAACCAAACTAGTTATAGTCACTAATCAATACAATTTTCAATGCAGCTCAAGAATTGAATCTAATGGAAACCATTATTCATGTCCATGACATAAATGTGGTACGCTCTCGCTAGGCATCAATCAGCTATCGTCAATTTTTCCATTCTGAATGACATAGCAAGTATTTCTCTCTATCTTCAACTTAAAAAAAAACAATGGTTGTATCTTCTCCTTTCTTTGTTTGTGCTGTCTTGATGTCTTCATTCCTTCATTTCTCTTTTCTTCTTTGTCGGCTATATAACAATAAAATGTCAGGGGAAAAAAACAGTTTCTGTAGTGATAGAAGAAATGATGGACGTATCTAAATGAATAGAGAAGCGGAAACATCTATACAATGTTTAAATAAAACATAGCTGGTTATATTGAAAAGGATAGTTATATATATTCTCATGAAATGCATTGAAGATAATTATCATTTTAGATAACAAGAAATAGAGTCGAATAGTTTCAGTTTTTAAATACTAATTTCATATGCTCACATTTCAAAGATTCCTGTAGGTGACAAAACAAAAAATATGTTTTGTTACACGCACATTCTCACTCAATATATATATACTAGAGTACATAACTTGAAAATGTGTATATGAAAAATTACCACGGAATAACCTTTGAATACTAACTTCTTAAAGTATAGAACAATGGACTATATCTTTTTTAAACTTATTCTATCAAAAATGTCAATTAAATGAAAAGAATTCTTATTTCAACTTAATTAAATCGATCCAACTTATTAAAAAGTTGATTAGTTATAACTCGATCAGTTTTTAAATTCCATAACGCTGTGGGGTATCAACTTATAGTGTTCAATAAGTGTTGATTTACTTACAAAAGAATCTCTTCAGGTGTTAAATTGATTTTAAGTCAACTTTCAAATTGAGATTAGTTCATTGAGCAACTTGTATTTTTTCTAGCATGTTCTATCTTTAGATGTTCAATATTCTCTCGTGTGTAAAAGCAAATTTTGTTCGTGCAAAGTTTAAAGTCGATTTTTCATGTAATCAAAGCCTTTTTTATTGAAAAAAACCCAGTAAAATTTCGATATCTTAAGAATGTGAAGATCTTGAAAATCAAATCATTCTAAACTTTTTCTATTACTCATCAAATGAACATCATCTCAGTCGAAAAGCGATTTGACAACTGGAAAGATTCTCTCATCAGATGTCGTATTTTATCACTAATTCAAATCTTCATCATAAATATAAAAATGTACACGATCCTATATTAATCTTTTACTTCCCCATGGTCACTAGAATGACCATTTGTAGAAAATATAAGGAACATGTCTTGTAGTGAACTCCATAAACAATCAATTAATCAAAAAATATTTTATTTTGTGTTGATTCATCTTCGAGAACGATGAATTGTAAAATCGATACTTTTGAAAAAAAAACCGTAAAATTAGGTTTTAGTTTCTATCAACAAACAACCTATATGATGGATGTGGGTGTGTGTGAAAATGAGTGTAGGTGTGATGATGTTGACAAAGTCTGTTTTGTTTCCAAACTTTCATTTGTCACTCCGTGCACATCTTTCACATACTTAATTTTGTCAAGTCGTTCTGGTCCAATTATCACTAGAGTGAATAAACGAGACTATATCTGTTCGACATATAGGATACACTTATTTACCATTCTAATGTTTCTTTTTATAAGTGACTCTTCTGTAGTTGCTCTCGGGGTATAGGATTAAAACGTTGTTTGAAGTAGTTTACAAAAAAAAGAACCCTTGAGCGACTCTTATACAACGAACAAAAAGTCTGCTTAAAAATAAGTAATCATATTAGTTTTTATCAGTTCTTCATTTTATTCATGTCAGAATAAAAAGATTCAACCTTATTCTGATGATAAAAATTTGTTCATTTTTCTTCATACGAAAATGGATTGTCATCTGATAAATATTTATTTTGAATTTCAAAAAGTGGATAATTGTATTACTCACAGAAAAGCCCGTTTACATTAACATAAGAACAGAAAAAAAAACACTGCCCGTACATAACATATAAAATATCGTAAATAACACATGAAAATGACAAACAATGGAAAAATTTTACATAAATTAAAAAAGAGAGATAAAAAATGAGCCCAATTAAATAAAAGTCATAATATTGGTTTTTTTTTCTCTAAAATATGACATGTTCAAAAGAAAAAATGTCCTAATCAGATCTCGGAAAATCTTATTTTGGCCAAACGCGATTAAATGCCTCAATAAATCTATCATAGATCATGAATGTAATAGAAACATCAGCACAAACTCGACCAAGTCGTGGTACTGTGCCTTTATAAAATCTAGATAAAATAATTAAATGAAAAACAAAAACAAAATAATAATAATAATTTTCATATTTTTGTTTTTAATTTTCAACATACGCTAATGGTCCTTCATTGCGCATTATTTGAATTGCACAATCTAATGTATTTTTATATTTTGCAGCTTCAAGACTTTGCATACGTGTTTTAACAACATCAAGTGGTGTATTACCAAAAACACTCGCTGCACCAGCAACAAGACCCATAAGACCAGTCATAAGTACTGGAACAAGATCATTTGGTCCTCTTCCTGTATATTTTCTATATTTTTCTTTTAATGTTTCCATAACAAAAAATCGTATAGCTTGATTTGTTCCTTGTTTAAGCATTGTTGCTGTTAAACCTTGATAAGTACCTCGAATACCTTATGTGAGAAAGAAAAAAACAGACAAATTCATTGACATCAATGCATAATTATTAATGTTAACCTTCAGACCGTATAATTTCACGAATACCATGAAAAAAACCCCGATAATTTGGTTTTGTTAAATGTTGATCATGAATAAATTTAACTTTAACAGTTTCCATTGGAGTAACAACACAAACAGCTTCAGCTAACTTTAAAATAAAAAAAAAAACAAAAAAAGAAAAGAAATTAATTTATTAAAATATAAATACATACACCAGCACCTAAACCACATAAAAGTCGAGTTTGCGATGTTAATTGACCACGGTCATCAGCTGCATGTTTTTTAAGTTCTTCAAAAGCTCCAAATCTTATCAAAAAAAAAATATATATAATTAATTTTTTTGCTTCAATAATGAAACTTATATTTTACCGAACAGCACTTTTAGGTATTGATCCATATAAAAGTACACTAAGACCACGATAAAGACCAAAAAAGCCACGCCTATTGACTGTTTGTTTGACACAATCAATAACACCATTATATTTTCGTGGTTCCCCACGTCTACTTGAGCCTTCATCTAATTGTAATTGAGTTTTTACGAATTCTGTTGGGAATGTTATACAAATTTCAATAGCGCCTGTGACACCTCCTAGGAAATCAATGAGAGTAGGTTACTATTTTTGATGAATGGTTAATTTTTTTTTACCCGCAATAACACCACGTAGACCACCGGTGGTTGCAGCAGATGCAGCTGCATTAATATCGCGACGTTGAGACGATGTCATAGTGTTTAATATTTAAAGAGAGGATGATGCAGCTCTCGTTCTAACAGTCAGCAAGGAATAAACCTATGATATTATTGTATTCATGTGATCTTTTCTAATCTATTTAATATGTAAAGAGAAGAGAACGTTATTCTATCTTTCTTTCTTTTTTATTTCGTGATTTATAGCTGACTGATGAGGTAATGATCTTCACAATCGAAAATCATAGAAGTGCATAAGAATTTAAAGAATGAAAGAAATTTGTCTCCATGAAGCCACACAGTCACCAGATTCAATCATGTAAGTATTCTATTGGTTACTTTCGTAATTAAATCGATTATTAGGGATGGCGCTGGAATCCGATCATTCAAATGATTATATTTTATGATAATGTTCGTGCATTTGCATTAATGATAAAAATTGAAATAATTTTCCGGAACTTTTTTCTATTCGAAAAAAAGAAGTAATTTTCAGTTGAATCATATAGAAAATAGTATAAAAATGATATCAGACAAATTTGATTTGTCATATCTTATATGAAACACAAGTTCTTCTATTGACGTCTTATTAATTGACCTCTATTATTCGATTACGGTTCGAAATTTTGTTTTCAGTGTTTTTTTTAATCATAAATTGCATTTTATATGTCGAAAAGAGTATATAATTCCATATGAAATATAAGAGCATGTCAACAAATATATATATATATATGTCGAACAACGAACAAGAGTAATTCTTTTCTTTAATAAACTTTCAGAACATTATGTCTTTTGATGAATGAACATTGCACATATGACGTGCTCGAATAGAGCAGATAAAAAGAAAAAGAAAAAAAATAGCATAAAAACTCAGCTGCATTCGTGTCTTAACTTGCATCAGAGGAAAACGAGAAAAAAAGACAGACTATTATTTTCTTACAAAAATATGGTAAGTATGTTCGCTTCACCCAGGGAGTTTCTTCTATTCTCTAGCCCTTTCTCTCTGTAACACTCGCGTTTTGTTAGGATTGTGGTTGCTGTCGTTCTCATCATTGTTTGATTATTTTGGTCTAACAACATATATAATATATAGCAAGGCATTAAGAAAAAAGAACGAAGAAGGGAAGAGAAAAGAAATTGAACGCAAAGAAAATAGAGGAAGAATTTGACGAATAGTTGCAACAGCCAAAAGCAGAGACGTCAGTCGTTTCTCTATTTTTCTGCATTTTTTGCATCTAGTTTTCAGAAGAAACCCATTAAACACAATAGCTACTTGAGCTTCTGCGAGTTTATTAACAACATTAAGAAAGAAATTTTGATTCTTTTCACGATATGTTTATTTGGTGGCTTATTGGATCAATCGGTATATATAAAATAATATTGATAAATTTATTTCTTTATCTTTTTTCTTATTCGAAATATAGGATATTTATGTATCGGTATTATTTATTGTCAAGATGCTGGTCAAGCTTTAGCTGACATTGAACCGGCAGAAGAAGAGATAAAAGTTGGTCTTTCTATTGTTGATAGTCCTCCAGAACAAGTTAATAATGAAACAAATAATTTAGTAGCTAATGATGGCATAAATACGGAAACTACTAGTACCGTAACAACTCCAGCACCGGAACCATTTACTTGTCCTGAATGTACAAATTGTCATTTAGAAAAATCTAATGTTGTCACTCGTGTTTGTGAAGTAGGGATAAATATGTGCTATGTAGGTTGATTTTCATATGTTTAATATGATATTCATTAACCTGTTTTGATTTTTATAGAAAATGCATAAGCGCATTAATAATGTTACTCGTCTAATACGTCTTGGTTGTTCAACATCGAAAGGACAATGTACAGTACCCGATGATGATCAGTCGAATTCATTCGATAGTATCACATGTTGCACAAGTCATCAATGTAATCAAGCCACTCAAGTTAAAATATCGTTTTTTCTTTCATCATTAAGTCTATTCAGTCTTCTCATTTTTATTAATAATACATAAAAAGGAAATTCTTTCTTATTCTTGTTTTTCGTCATGTGCGTGGTAGACGTGAAAAATTCATAATATTTCTATTCGGCATATTATATTCTCTTGTCAATCATACGCATATAGTATAGATTAAATAATAGAAAAAAAGAGGTGTCATTATATTTCTGTATTCATTTATTCACTTGTTTTGTCATTTGATGTATAAGCATATAGTTTTAGACAATCTTTTTCTTCATTGTTTAACAATAATAAGAAAAAAGAAGATTTTCTTGTTTTTTTGCTTTATGAACAATAATCAATAAAACAATTTTCTTCAGCGAACTAACGATTTTTTGTATGCAACTAATAAGCTTCAAACAGAATATATATATATTTAACTTGTTACAATGATTCATGACCGATTAGAACAAGCTTCCGACATATATCATATTCGATATAAATGACACATGAAACAAACAAATAAAAAGCAATGAATATATCTTGCTTTTCGTTTCAAGTCAATAAATAAATCAGAGAAAGTAAGCAGATAAAAATTTAGTCAAGGATTAATATGAACTATCGTCAATGATTATGACATTAACATTAAAACAAATCAAAATCTTGTTATCAATACAAATACTATCGAAGAATAATTCTATAGTGTTAACAAATAGAAAGGTATAACTCATTATAAATTCAAACGATGAACATATATTTTGATTGATATGAACGTAGGACAACAAAACTTCTTGATTAAGCAAAAATATTGTAAAGATCGCATCACTCTTTTGCCTCAATGAGTTACGTATCACTGCTTCTTTTCTCTTTCTTTACTTGCTCAGCTTACTTCAAATATGGGACATATGTACAAAGTGCACAACCGTGAAATACGTCGTGTACAACATCACAGGTCGATTACATGAAATATAAAAAAAAAAAAAAAAGAAAAAGAAGACGAAGAGAAAAAAAAATCCATGTGAAAAAAAAAGAAGCATTCGTAAGACAACGCATGTGACCAGTCAAAATACTATGAAATATATGCGAGTATGTTTTAGGTAATTCACTTTTGAATAATTAATTAATGAATTCGATTAAAAAACGTCCAAGAGATTCTTATGATAAAACTGATTTACAATCCCATACAACTCGATTGAACGATCGTATTATTAAACATCAACTACATAACTATGGAACAGCTATTGATGTATACGATGCTGTTACACGAACATTATTACCTTATTGGGAATATAATGAACGGTATAAGATAAAAATTTTTAAACAATTAAGACTTGATACACCTGGTATTCCTAATATGGCACATCATGTTCGTGCTCAATTACAAACATTACATAATGAAGAAAAAAATTCAACTGTAACAATATGTGGTATTGATGTATCAAATGGTGCATCATCAGTTTATTTAGAAAGTTGTCCACATGGACGAACATTACAAATATTAACAAATATACTTGGAATTGAAATACGTCTTGTTACATCATATATCTATGAAGAAATCATATCTGTTATACCAAATGATTTATTAGAAATACAACCATTATATATTGCTTATAATGATGTTTCAAAACAATTTTTTATGCTTGATAAACCAGGTAAAATTCTAGAAGATTAAAGAAAAAAAAAAATTATTATCATTTTGAAAATTCTTTTTTTTTTTTTTTTTTTTTGATATTTAGCAAATGTTAAACGTGATGATCTATTAGAAAATCAACAAAAAATTGATCATCTTATTCAAAAATATAGTTTAATACCAACAGTTATATCAACACCAAATCCTCGTTGTTTATCACTTTTTTTATGTATTGCTCATATATTAAAATCTAACGCTGTAGATTTTCTCGATACATCAGCATTAGCTATGCAAATTCGTGATGCTACTTATCAACAAATAAAATCAAATTTTGATCAATATGAAAAATATATTCTTCTATCAACATCGAAAAAATCCAATCATGTTGATATACGTCATGATAGTCAATGCCTTATTGAATCAAATTATTATCGATATCAATTAGAACGACCAATATTATTTGCATTAGCTCATGTTCTACAATGTAATTTATTAATTTTTTCATCATTATCTTTAGAACAACAACCAGAAATGATTGATATTGATAATAATAATCGTTCGAATGATAATGATAAACTTATTGTTTTAATTAAAAATGAATCAACACAACGTTTTACAAGTGCTCGAACAACGTGTAAATTATTAATAACTATAATTTAATAACGATGACGATATTTTTTATTTTTTTCTTCTTCTAAAATTTAGATCCATTAAATCATTTATTCATTCGAAAAGAATCTGACAATCATAATGATCCAATTTATGAAACTATTGATCATTCACCAGTAACTGATACAAAAAATAAATCAACAATAGCAAATACATTTTTTAGTAAAACAAAAGATAAATTTGTTACAGCTGTTAATAAATTAGTTGATAATTATGGAAATATACCGAAAAAACAAACTTCTATTAATAATTTACAACAACGATCAAGTAATAGTATGAACGAACGAACAATACCAACATCACCTAGTGATCAAAAACCATCAAGTACAAAACGACAAGCTCCTTTAGCTGAACATATTCTTCGTCAACAAGAAGATACACGTCATGCAAACAATCAAACACCTGATGTAACATATGAAAATACAAAAACTTCTTTACCAACACCAGTACCACGTCGGTCGTCAACGTCATCGTCGATAATAACCACACCGACTAAAACTTCTGTAATATTTGCTCACTGATGCGTGTCTTTATATATATAAATATAAATATAAATCGTAATATAATTTTTTCCTCATTCTGTTTTTTTTTCTTTTTTAGCAACCTTCGTCATCAAATAAACGTCAATTACGTCCTGTTCCTTACAAAGATCGACAAACAACATTAACAAAAATGGGCACAACGAAAACAATAGTTAATCAGAAAATATTTAATTGTGTTACTCTTGAAGATGTTGATGATAGTACAACAGCTGATGAAGATAATAATAATGATGATGATGAAGATGATGATGATTCATTTAGTGATGAAGCTGTGGATGATTTACAAACGGTTATTCTCAAAGAAAGAAAGAAAAAAACGCCAACACCAACACCAACAACAATAGCGACAACGACAATAATACCTACAAAAGCATCAAATAAATTGTCACATGATAATCCAACAAAAAAATCAACATCCTATCATTATGATAATGAATCACTCAAACGACAACAACAAAGTCATACAAAACCTGACGACGATATGTATGAGAATGATCGACAACGAGATGATTTAAGTCGTGATGATGATATTTATTTATCAACATCAGATATTGTTCAACAAGATCGAAAGCAACTTCAATTATTTGTTAATGATCGAATAAATAATAAGCAACAACAACAACAACAGCAACAACAATCATCATCAACATCGTTATCATCAGTACGACAACAAGAACGTAAAACATCAACAACAAAATTACCTTCAACAACTACAAATACTAATGATCGTCAATCATTTTTAATTGATAAAGATGCTGTACTTGAAGTCCTTGGTCATAATATAGCTCAACGTGACCGTCATATTCTTATGAAAGTTCTTAAACAAGAAGATTTAATATCGAAAGAATGGGAGCGTCTACTTTATTTACTTGATGAATATGTTAATAATCCAAAAAAAGAAAAAAAAGAACGTGGTTTATATGCATTAACGTTAATGGAAAACCTTGATCGACTTGGTTATGATATGCTTGAAATACAATCAACAGGACATAATCATTTTAAAGCTATTGCCAAATCAATATTACTTATTATTGAAATAAATGATTGGTTCAGTGAACATATATGTCGTATGTTACATTTAAATGGACCAAATGACTCTCGTATGGTACGTCATTTAAGAAAATTATGTTTAAAAGAATGGTCCAAATATCCAGATGAATATCGAACATTATTTGCTCAACGTAATGCCACACAACAACAACGAACAACATTAGATTTGACACGTGAAATAGAACGTTTTCGATCAGAAGATTATTATCGTTCTGATATGTGTGCTTTAGTTAATCAAGCATTAGCTACAGCACTTGCTGTACCAATTCATATTGTTCGAGCTGTACGTGAACCAAATAGTCCATTGGAAGTATATTTACCAATGCGTGGTATTGCTCGACCAGGTTTAGCTATTGTACTTATTGCAAGTCATCCACAAACTGGAGATGGACATTATGATGTAGCTGTACTCAAAGGACATCCTCAAACATTACGTAAACATCGAAATGTAACATTTGATGATAAGCCTGAAGTTAGATCATTTGAAACAAATGCTGATGAACAACAAATGCTTAAAGTCGTACCAACAAATAATAATTTAACTGTTCAACAACAACAAGCATCAATGATGAATCCAGCTTTAATAGCTGCACATCAAGCACAATTTTTTGCTAATCCATTTATGTATTCACCATTTACATTCCCTAGTCCTCAACAACAACAACAGCAAGTACCAAATTCACCTTCATTAATTCGAACTACAAATGCAAATGCAAATACAAATAATAATAATCAATCGAAAACAAGTATCACCGGTGCTACTAGTTCAACAATACCTGCTACAACAATGATGTTACAACCACAAATGCCATTTATTCAAATGCAACAAGCACAACCAACATTTGTTTATACTCCTCTCATGCATACAACACAACAACCAACAACGAATGGAACTACGACTTTCTTTTATACACCTGCGAACTATCCCATGTGATTTTTATTTGATATTTAGAAATAAATAAATCATAAAAAACAAAAAGATTTTTTTTCATCATCGACTTGTACAATTATTAACAGAGATAATATGAATTCGGTCAGTTTCATAGTTGTTTAATCGATCGAACTTTATTTTTCGATTACTGGATCATATTAAACCATTGATCAAACATATTCATAGCTTTTATTTTGATTCTACTTAGAAAGGAAACTAATTTAAGAGAGAAAGTGTTTCAAGACTACGGAGAAACTATTCATTTATCATTTTTTCTCAGAAAAATTTAATCTCAGTTGAAATTTGTAATACTCTCGTCATCAATCGTGAAAATATTTTTCATCATTACCATTTCTCGTGTCAGTAAATTAGTAAAGAAGTTTCTGTTCAATGGAAACGAATATATTTTTATTACGTACACAGAAAAGTGTTTACATCAATAGTTTTTAAAGTAATCTTCTTTCTAATAGTTGTGTGGCGTTTTGTCTATTATTCATCAACAATTTTGTGTATAGTTATTTTTTGATATTACGAGTTGTTGTTGATACTGGATGCATACAAAAATGTTTTACAATATGATCGAAATCGTCTTTTGTAAAATAAGGTTTTAAATTACTAATTTATACAGCTGTTCTAAGACTTTTGGTAATAGACGATTTCGTAGTTTTGCTTTAAACCGTTGTACTGTGCTAAAACTTGGTACACGTTCATTAGATTCAATCGGTGGAGTTGTTAAAATTTAATGTAATTCAATTAGACATGTTAACGATCAAGCCATACTTTTGACATTTGTCTTATCTTCTGTCTTTTTAATATATTACTCTTAAAAAATATGACCTGATTCAATTTCTATTGGAAAATAAAAAGTCGTTCTCATTAAAAAAAACTGGAAAAAGAGCTTCACGTTTACACAGTCAATCTGGCTCACGGAAAGATTAAAAACGTTGTCTATTTATAACAGAAAATTTCTAGGAAAAAAGGCAGAACACAAGATAAACCGTTGAAGGTGGAAATCACCTTGCTGTCCTCTGTGAATCGTATGAACTGAGCAAATTTCTATTCAAGCTGACGGCTATGTATGAGTGACTATGTTGTTCGACATCTATCTACAATTTACTGTATGCAAAACTCAGTACCACTAGCTATGGAATGATTCTGGAGAAGTCATTAGTGGCTATGTGTCTGCAATCACTCCTCTGATAGCATGCTGACTATGTTACGACATACATCTGCTTTTGGCATTAATTAGCGTGTATGGGGAGCTCAAGCAATTCAGTGCCAGAAATCTCTGTCGGACCAGTTTTCTGTCCAGAGCTATTGCTAGTATCATTTGTAGGAGAAATATCGGACTATTAAATCTGCCGTTAGACAGCATCCCGTATCGTAAGATAGTTAAAAAGTATGATATTCTTATTCTTATTCTTATTATTCCTATTTAAACTATCCATTGATTCTACTGCATTGTCAAATTAATAGTTACTTGAAATCGAAGTATAAATGTGTTTGAAATTAATCCTAGTCATGGTTCGAAAAGACTCAATTTGACACACAATAACTTAGTATAAGTGTAATACATTGTATAATTATATGTATCATTCATATACTCTGTTTAGACGAATTAAAATTGAACATATCACCTAGACTGAAATCGAAACTTAAACTTATGCTTATAATTTCTTTAAGTTCATAAAATAAATAGTGATTATTCGATCTTTTCTTTTTCAAATTATAATAATATATTGCTTTATTTAAATATCCATGTGTGTGGCAAGTCCTCATCTTCTTAGCCATGGACGAACATCGTCCCTGTGACAACAAAAATAAAAACCATACATATATTACTGTATGAAAATTAACGACATAGATAACAAGTTAAGCCACAGTAGTAGAAAAAAAAAGACAAAGAAAAAGTACAAATTGATTGTGGTGGTACCCGTAAATTTTGAAAAGACTAGAGAAGTGGAGTACAGTAAACGCTCTGATCACATTAGTTCAGTTAATAACAAAGAACAAAATTAAACAAGGAACTTTTAACATTTTCAAACAAGTTTAAAATTCTTTTACTTGTTCTTCCTTTGTTTACAATTGCTCTTTTCTCTTTTAACAATAGTGAATTATTATAATACTCATAGATATACAACAAATACATTCTGTGTTGAAGATAGTCACCTATCACAGATGGATTTGTTGTAGTAATGGTTGTAATAAGTTTTTTAAAATGCGTTTGTGTGAGTTTGCTTATCGATTTATATTTTGACAAATTAGAGATCTTATCATTAGTTGCATCGAACCAATGATGAATAATTCTGAACACTTGTCTATTTACGGTTTCAAGATGATTTTGTTTCGAATTTGATAAAATGGGATAGACATTTAGAAGTGATTGATAATATGGTCTTATATAAGCATTATATACTCTATAAGACACAGTTTCACTTAACACACGTTTTAATGAGAGATGTTTGAATATTCCCATATTTTTACGTATTTTAGATTCAATATAATTAAGATGTGAAGTAAAAGACAATTTACTATCAAGAATTGTTCCAAGATGTTTCATTTTATTACAACGAGATATCAAATGCCCATCACAATTGATATCTTGAGGAATGATAGAAGCAACTTGTCGATGAAATTCTTTTTCAAATTGTACTTAATATATTGTAGAGTTATTTTAGTGGTATATGATTCGATGGAAATTTTCGAATAATTTAATTTAAAAATTAATGTTCCCAATCTATTCGTAACACATTCTCCTAAATAACAAGCAGATTCATCTGTCGATAGATGATATCCTTGCTCAATCCTACTGTATGAATATACTTCCGAGTTTTGAATAAATTTTCCATAGGCGTCTTTGTATGACAATCAAAGTTTTTGAATTATTCTTACAATTGCGCATTTAAAACACTGTTCATAATTAATATTTATTGAGTTGACTTGCATTTCATCAAAAGAAATATGTTCAATGACCGATTATTTCTTAAACATAAAACTACTACACGAAAAATACAAACTCGAGTATAGGTTATTCATTGGGTTTCAATATTCAATTTCCAGTGAATTCATTACGAAATGTGACTTTCTCTTATGTCACGTTAGTCATGGTAAATGATCAATGTTCACACCATTATTTGAAATATCAAATGAATTCAATTACATAATCGAAGTTATTGTTTTTCATTGGAAAAATATATTTATAACTATATTTTCGACTATTTTGATTTTGACATATACCGATGAATTACTTTTAGATTAACAATATTAGCAGTTAACTATAGCGACAAAGCATAAGCATTCAGAAATCAACTGATCTTCGTTTTACTCAAGTGTTTAATTCAAGGTAGTTCGAACAAGATACTGAAACTGAAACAGAATTGGCGAGATTCGCTCGGTTTTCTATTACAATAATTATGGATATGAAGAACAGACAGTTTACCTTTCAAAATACTACTTTTAGTGTTATCAATAAACTGTTAACTAAATGGTTTCGTTCAGTGTTTGGAAATACTGTCGTTATTAAATTCATTTTATTATTAATATTCAGTTCTATGTATAATATGACCATATTTTTCAATTGCTTTTATTAAATTAACAAGAACGTCAATAACATTGATCGAGACAAATTAAATCTTTTAATGAAAAAGGGAAAAAAACAAAATTTTATCAAACAAAAAGTATTACTGGCAGCATTATCTGGAAGTGACGTGTAAAAACTAGATGAGAAACGTACTTTTTACTGTTATAGATATTAAGTACTTTGAATATATCCGTTGTTCTTGATGTTATTGATTTAAATTAATCACACCGGCCCAATCGACTAATAAAATTGATTTTCACATGATAAAGAATCTTACTTATTCACACTACGAATACATAATTATCTGTGACATCGAAAACTTAAAACAAACAACTATCATTTCTTTGTTTCTTTTGCAGCTTTCAATGTCGTTTTTCCCCATTTTCTTCTGTTCTTTACTGAAATCACTATTTCGTAAATTGATTAACTCTTTTTCTTTTCATCATTTCAATTATAGATACAGAACTAAGTCAATCATGACAAATCTTTGTTAACAAGCAAACTACTAGCACTACATAAAAACAAATACCCAACGATCGATAGAGGCCTTTTTCTCTTTTTATTTTTTCTCAAACACACATGATTTCTGTAGAGTGAAGAAAGAGAAAAACATTTGTTCTCTTGTTTAAATTGAAGAATGGATAAGACAAATAAACAAAATTCTTCCTATGACCGAAAAAACTGAGTGTAATACATAAAGCATGACCGAAGAAAAGGCAAAAAACAAATATTTCAACACAAAATTAAAACAACTTGAGAAAATGAATAGTTCGTGCTTATCTTTTTTCTTTAACCATCAGTCTTATTTGTATATTTGAATTACTAGATGCAAAATCTGTCATAGTTTATTATTATCTAAAACAAATTTACGGATGTATTCAAATCAATATGCAAACTTTAGTTAATCATTACTATCAAAATGATAGAAAGAATTTTCTGTTCAAGAAGTTTTACTCTATTAAAAAGAGTAAGTGTTATTCAAAATTCATTCATTGAAAAGTATTTATACACTTTTTACAATTACGTAACATTAAAACATTAGTATCTTACATGAACATACATACAGATATGCAAATACTTATAATAATATAAAAAAGTTCTTCATGAAATATGTTTGAGAAGAAGCAATTGTATAAATAATTGAATGAGTTCATTTTAATCAAAACAACAATAGTTTCGTATGAATAAAAATTCATTGACGTAAGCAAAGGTTCACTAGGCCGGATGCCAGCATACTGTTGATCGTCTTGAGATGTGGATGCAAGTTAGAGTTCATCGAGTTCAAGAATTTCAGGATCCAGATTTGGACCAGATGAACTCTAATGTGCGCGTCTGAGAGTACACAAAAGATTCGCACTCAACCTGGAATCCGCGACGAATTGTCCTAGCACCAAAAAGTTACTATGACCAAGAAAACATAGTCACACACATCTCTATACTCGAAAAATAGGTTGAATACAGAACAAATTCCTGTTACTTTACCTGTTGTCTTCATTCAACCAATTTCGTCCAGTTATTAGCAATTTTTCGTAGCATATAATTGTCTGTTCAGTCGATCTTGAGTACCTTCATACATGTGAAATGAATGTTGATAATTGTCATTTATTCATTTTTCTCTCGTCTTCACAACATATATTACCTCAAAACTATTCGTCTGTTAAGAGAGATGTAAGGAGGAAATAATTTGTTTTATATAAAAAATCATTTTTTTTTCTTTACAGAAAATGTCCTAAACCCGAATTCAATGATTGCTTTTTTTAGTTGTTGTGGAAATTTCGATAAAGGTCTTGTATTTTTCTTAGTTTCCTCTATGAGCAATTAAGAGAGTAATATGAAATTCTTATGTTATCTCGACCAAAAACTATACTGATAGGATATTTCATAGAAAAATAGGTTATTTAAGGCCACGCCCCCCCCCCCCCCCTCAAAAATGTCACTTTTCGTCAGCATCATCGAAATTGAGGGAAATTCATTGGGAAATAGCCCGTCATCTGCTCTTTCATATGTGACAAAAATTTTTATTCAGCATCTCTTTTTACTCAAAAATTTTGGAAGATTTTCGTCACCCCCTATTCGAAAAACAGGCCGTTTTTACAAAAAACCGAAAATTATTTTTCGTTTTTCTCAGAACGTCGGTTCAACGATGTATCTCCAGCAGAACTCCATTACAGTAAGAGGTAATGTCAAATATTTTCTTTTTTGTTTGAAAGATTATGTGCAGGGCTAGCGACTCTCGTGGTCCTTTTTTTAAAAAAAACTTTTTTATTATCATAGAAGATAACCTCTATACCGGATCCGCGCAATTTTTAGAGAGGTTTTTTGAGTCATTGAACTTTTGCTCCGTTTTTTTCCCCTGAAAAGTAAGGCTTTAAAAAAAAAGAGCCACGAGAGTCGGTGCATTCTGACATGCTCTTTCAAGCAAAAAAAAATTAATTGTCTAGAATGAAGACCCACAGAGAAAACTTGGAGATACTAAAGAGCTATTTTTGGTCCTTGTTTGGTGCATATCTCGGTTAAACATTGTGCTATAGGGCTGAAAATTTGACCATAGCCATGTCTCACCAGTCCCAACATATCCTGAAACTTTCATGTCATTTGAATGTTCCTGGGCTGAGATCCATTTTTGAGGCGGGGGGGGGGGGTGGCCTTAAGTAATAGAGCTAACCAGTTTATCGTCCTGTTAAAATATCTTTGCTTTTTTTCGAGAAATATGTGTGTTGTTTTCTGTTATTAAATTTTTTCGTTTATATCATTAGCATCAGTTGATATTCGTCATAGTCACGTGAGACACCTAGGACATAAATTCATGTTTTATACACTCTTCGACACTTGGAAATTTATCTTATATTTTCTCGTTAATTTATGTAAACTGCACACGTGAAACAAGATAGAAAAAAAACTTTTTATGGTTTTAGTCAAATAAAGACGACGAAACTAAGCAAAGCATCATTGGGTTATTTCTTATGATTCACACCCACACCTCATCACCACATGAATGCTTCAAGAAACACAAAAAGAAAAAGACTTTTTTCCTCTTTCTGTTTATAACACGAGAGAGATTTCTTTTTTATCACATCGTGTATTTTTTCTCTAAGTAAAATTGCACAACCATCATAGGTACTTATGACATACATACACATGGAACAAACTATTATTCTTTCACTTGACGTTATAAACGAATGTCTTATAATGATTGTATATGCCTTCAATAGATCTTATCTTAACCTTTCATTTTACTCTTAAATAGCAAATTTTCAGTGATTATTGCTAATGTTAACAACTTATTACAGAAAATTGTAAGTAACCTAGAAAATCCTTTCTAAACTGAGTGTTTTCCTTGGATTTATTAGTTTAGTTTTGTCGAAATATTTCCGATTGCTTCTTGAGAACATTTTGATATAATCCCTATATCGTTGATTAATCATATGCTTTAGATGATTCGTCAAAAAATATCAACAAATCCAGAGTCAATGCAAGAATTGCATCTGAAATATGGTTGGATACCAGGAGGTGAAAGTATTCGACCTGATGCTGCCAGCAAAGAAAAAAAACACAATTACATCACGAATATGTTAACCCGCTATGTTAGTCTTCAAGATTTTGTACTACATCGATTTTTTGGTTTGAAATTTGTTCTACAAGGAAATTGGAACAATTCAAGAATGCACGTTCCTGACACAGAAATTTCTTCTGCTCGAATAGCTATGAAGCAAAATTCGAAAACTCATGAAGTTCGATTTGTTCCGAACTTGTTCTCTTATCAAGTTCCAGCTGATACAAATCATTATGTTCTTTGGTTTTTTTTAAATGGAAATGAATCAATTGATCCAATAACACATTCACCTATAGCTGATGATGAAATTAATTCAAGTATTGACGAAGCACTTCGACAATTATTAGGTTCTGATAATAATAAATTTTCATTTGTATGGTATCTCAATCCAAAACCAACAATTATTTCTGATGTTTTATATCATGTACAAGTTTTTTGGATACCTTAATCATTTATACTAAACAAATATATCTGTCACTTATAATAAGTCAAATTTATTTGATAGATTTAATCTTTTTATATTGTTCAAAAATAGAACATAAGTAAAGCAAAAATAAAACACAAAAAGTTTTTCAAAACTCGAAAAATTGTATTATTTAAAACGTTGACGAAGTATAGAACACAGAAAAATATTTGTAATTGTCTAATACGAATTTTAATCTTATTAATTATGAAATGTATTTTTAATCGAATAAGCAATACAATGTCAAATTATATTTTGTTTTCTATTTCTATATACTTTGTATAAGAAACATGTTCTGAACAAAGATAATAAGTGAATATTATTCAAGTGTAACTTGTGTATTATATCTAAGAACAATGCAAATCACAATGACAAGGATGCTGTAGATCCATATTCATGAATTATCCTTACATTACCAGTATCTTTTTCGACTGACAAGCGTGTGTAGTTATTTTTCAGAACGCATGACCTTATGTTGTTTTACATTATAAATATAAAAAAGAATACCTTCACAAAAATAAAGGCATTTTTGATTGATGCTTATAAATTACTGTCACCTTACTAATATTCGTTTCGATTGTTTAACGTCTATGATTTTCTTTTTCCATGATACAGTTTCATATTACTTTTCACTCTAAATACACAAAACGAACGCATCACAATAACAAGGACGTTCTAGAACGACATCGGGTGAGCCGAAAGTTTTGCAACATTTTTGTTTGTTTTGCATATATCTCCGTTCAGAAACATGGTAGAAGACTGATTTGTTTTTCAAAAGATGATCCATTTAATAGTCTATCAGACTTACGAAATCAAATCTTTTAAACTTTTTTTGAAATATTAATAAATTAATATAAGTGAAAACGTCCAATATCGTACCGTGTCGCATTGTAAGAAATTTGAAACGCTTTGGATACTTTTTAAAAAGATCATATCAGATTCAGTTCATGCATCTTTTAGCAGAATATTTCAAAAAAAAAGAATAAAGGTTATCACCTATTCAAAGGGTAAGCGGTAAAGGTTTTTGACATTTGTCTCTATTCTTCATGGGACAACCTCCTCATTTTTCTAGTCATTTTATTCAAAAATATACTTAAAAAAGCAGTGATCTTGTTGCACTGATACCTATTTCATACACTTTCAGATCATAAAGAGACTGAAGTTGGAAAAAAAACAAAAAACAAAGATATGAAAGCACGATAAACTTAGCTGTCAATATTTCAAACTCGTAATGTCTGGTTTTCCAGATTTCTTGTAATGGGACATAGTACGACAATACACATCGTCACTTTTATTGATTTATTAAAATTTCATAAAAAGCTAAACAGATTTGGTTTCACACGTCTGATCAAGTATTAAATGTAACCTCTTTCGAAAAAAACATTAGCCTTCTACCATGTTCCTGAACGAACATACATACACAACAAAACAAATGTTGCAAAACTTTTCGCTCACGTGGTATTTATAAATTCACTAAAACTTACTAATCCTTTTTTCGAATGCTATAGTTCATATGGCAACTAGTTCGTTGTTGTGAAAATTTTGATGCATTTTTGTCCAGATGCTGTTTTATCAATATTCATACAAATCTAATATAATACTATCCATCTTCCTGATCAATGTTTCTAATAACAGGTACACTAAGTCAGAGTAAAATATACAGAACTTTCAATAACAAGTTGTTTTTATTCTTGTTTTATGTTTCCAATCAGAAAACAAAATTTTAGTAGTTAGTCTATAATCACATAGTCACGACTTATAAAATCATTATCGAAATAGAAATTCATTGATGCACTACTGAAGATGAAACCTATTTCGAAAAGCTACTATTAACACCATATGACACACATCATTGATATAAAGTATTACTTATGATTTCAAAGTCTGAAATTGTCTTTAGTAAAATGTCATATTTTCTTTGTTCTCAAGTAAAATTGATTGTACTCTTGTTCAAATTTCAAACACCATTGTAGTATAACGTCGTCATGTGCATGCAGTTCACTAACATATATATATATAGGCGTATGCATCATCTGATTGAATACAGCACTACTGTAGTTTTGTAATATTCTTACGGTTACACTTATTTCTGTGCTAATGTGCGAATGGGATTTGAGAAGGCTTGTAAACTACAGAAGAACCTTTAGTAGATTTCTATCAAGATTTCGTTTTTCTTTTTATGAAGTTTTCGCCAAATTCAGATATGGTCGCCCTAAGTGCCACTGACTTTTTATACATTTTTCACCACACTTTACATCACCAAATCGTGTTCTATAACATACTCAGAAGCTATCATATGCAAATCAAACTAAGTTCTCCATCAGAAGTTACTTAGGGGTATCCAAAAGTAGTGGCAACGACATTTTAGTACCACTTAGTAAGCTTGATAAAAGTTTCTTTTTACACAGGATGATAGAGAAAAAAATGCTCTTTCTTTCTATGCGATTTGATCATACTGCACGTAATATAATGGTAATAAATTTCCAGTAAGATTCGTTTCGTTATCATTCGTGATCGTTATAAGTTTTCATTGCAGTTTTCAATTTTTTTATGTGTGCTATTANTCAGAAGGACAGCGCATTGGATATAATTCTTATAAGCTCAACAACTTCACTCTTCTAATGAAAGGCATTTCATCTCAAATGGAAGGATATTAGTCAGGACGATTTCTTCATAAGTCACTAAACTAAAACCTTCAGTAAACATTATTATGAAAGAAGGTTGAATTTAAGATACAATAAAACTTCTCTATAATGAGCATCTTTTTATTCTGAACATTGAACGTTTTTTTCTGGTTCCATGAACAATAGCAAGCTTGGTCATGTGGGTAAGAAGGAATTAATTAGCCGTAAATATTTAAAAGAAAAAAAACTAGACAACAGCAACACTGCTTGGGTTAGCATTTCATCTTTTTTTTGTATTAGTTAATAACTAGTTACATCAAATCATATCAATATGCACTAGTTTATCTTTGATTAAAAAAACTGAATTAATAAATTGCGACAAAGAAGAAGAAAAAAACAATCTTGTATAAACGAAAAGCAATTGCTAATGGGTACCTCCAGAAAGGCACCAATTTCGATTGGTCCCGATAGTACCCATATTAGAGCGTTTTTGTTTTCATTACCGATACAGCAGTACGTTGAAACTCACCAACAGAAGCATATGTCTCGAATTCATAACATTCGGAGAACCATCTTGTTTCACATGTTAGTTCCATAGAGTTTCTGCTTTACATCTTTTTTCTTTTATTTAAGAATAATTTAACAATGTTATTACAAATCATGGAAGATTTTCTTAAAGAAGCTCCTAAAACAGCTGATAATGATTCAGTTCGTCAAAATGTTGTTATACTTATGGGTAAATTAGCTAAAGATATGGATAAAGATAGTACAAAAGTGAAAAATATACTTGGGCAACTTATATCAACATTAAATACACCATCACAACAAGTAAATCAAACATAAGCGAAAAAAAAACTCGAACATTTTTTAAATATTATTTTATTTAGGTTCAAGCTGCTGTTGCTGATTGTCTTCCACCATTAGTACCAGCAATAAAAGATGAAGCTGGAGTTTATATACAACAATTACTTCATTTTTTACTTCAATCAGAAGATTATGCCGAGAAAAAAGGTTCAATTTAAAATATAAAAATTAAAAAAAATGAATAATTTTTTAATACTTTTTTTTTTGTTAAGGAGCTGCTTATGGTTTAGCTGGTTTTATCAAAGGTTTAGGTATTCTTGCTGTTAAGCAATATAATGTTCTCAATGAATTAACCGATGCTATTCAAGATAAAACAAATGCTAAACGACGAGAAGGTTTTAGATTTGAAAAAATTAAATTTTTTTTTTAAATTTCATTTATTAATTAGGTGCACTTTTTGGTTTGGAAATGTTAACATCAATGTTAGGTCGACTTTTTGAAGTATATATTGTTAATATATTACCTCATTTACTCTTATGTTTTGGTGATAATGATGTTAAAGTTCGAGAAGCTGCTGAAGATTGCGCAAGAGCTATTATGAGCAAATTAACAAGTCATGGAGTTAAAATTGTTTTACCAGGACTTTTGAAAGGTTTAGAATCAGATTTATGGAGAACAAAATGTGGAGCTGTTGAATTACTTGGTAAGAAAAATGAATTTTTGTAAAACTTTGTCGTACGATGGAATCCTTTCAACTAATCAATTGCTTTTTTTAACAAAAGCTTTTAAATTAGAGTACTTATCGGCCTTACTGATTTCAATCATGAGTATGAGAAATATTTTGAGGTTTTCCAGACTCACACATTTTTTCCTAAAATTTGTTTTTTTTTCTTCTATCCAGATCATAGAACATATCTAATCGCATAGAAAAAATAACTAAACAATAGATATCAATATTTCAATGTGAAAATTCTCACGATGATATTATTTTACTTAAAGCTTATTTTCGGAAAATAAAAACAATTATTGTCCCTTAGAAAACTCGATATGCTATATAACCGGAACAGATTCAAAATGATTTTGATCAAATGTTTGTTAGTCTGGAAAACCGGTATATGAAACTCATATGAAAGTTTCTCATGCTCATATTCGAAAATCAGTATAGTCAATCACCCCCACAATAGAATATTCCTTTTTTTAAGGAATGCCGTTGAAACTCGTCACTTGTTAAATTCCATTGATAGCAGAAATTTAATCAAAGATGACTTTTATTTCAAGATATTACATAGATCTTAATGAATCATAGGCACGTTAAACAAAGATCATATTCTCCGATAGGAAGTTTCTTTTATTACATTGCTATAGTTAGGTTCAGATTTATTGAAAAATAAAATATGCAGGTAAAACTTATTGACCTTTCAGTTATTATCTTTTCGAACTACAAACATGATTATATGCTGACGATGACAATTAATATGAAAACTATAATTAAATCTCAAACTATTTTATTAAAATATTTGTTTTTCACGGACCAAAGCGCATTAACAAAAGAGAATCCATTTTTACGTAGAAACAAACTATAGGTACAGACAACATGATCTCAATCTCAACATTTTTTTCACTGAGAACGATAACTTGTATAATCATGTAAGACTTGCATTGAATGTCATAATATTGTCACGATTCATGTGCTCTAAAAATACATACGGACAAGACGATATCGCTCGTGCTTAGTACAAACTACATTAAAAGTATTCACAGTTCATTAGATCGTGATGGATCTGCATAATTTTGGTTAAAAAGCATTATGATAATATAAAGCATTCATTAATTTCATATTGATATTGTTATGAAATTTTTAGGTGCAATGGCACATTGTGCTCCAAAACAATTATCAACATGTTTACCAAGTATTGTTCCAAAATTAATTGAAGTACTTACTGATTCTCATCAACGTGTACAAAAAAGTGGCACTCAAGCATTAAAACAAATAGGTTCTGTAATAAAAAATCCTGAAATTCAAGGTAAATATATTGTTTTATTGTTAATCTATATATATAAATTCTATCGTATTCATATAGCCATTGTACCTGTTTTACTTGATGCATTACAAGAACCAACTAAAAAAACTCAAGCATCACTTCAAATATTAATTCAAACACGTTTTGTTCATTTTATCGATGCTCCATCTCTTGCATTAATCATTCCTGTTATTGAACGTGCTTTTCAAAATCGTTCAACAGAAACAAGAAAAATGGCTGCACAAATTATTGGAAATATTTATTCATTAACTGATTCGAAAGTAAATACAAAACATGAATTTTTCTTTTTAAATTTTGTTTGAAATTTTAATAGGATCTTGGTCCATATTTACCAAATATTCTTCCCGGTTTAAAAACAAGTTTACTTGATCCTGTTCCTGAAGTTCGTGCTGTATCAGCACATGCACTTGGTTCAATGGTTCGTGCTATGGGTGAAGAAGCATTTCAAGAAATAGTTCCATGGCTTATGGAACATCTTGTACTTGAATCAAGTCCAGTTGATCGTTCAGGTGCTGCACAAGGTTTAAGTGAAGTTATATTTGGTCTTGGTGCTGATCGTCTTGAAAAATCTATGAAAGAAATTATTGAACGTTCACAACAAATTGATTTAGCTGCACATGTTCGAGATGGTTATATGATGATGTTTATTTATTTACCAATTAGTTTTGGAGAAAAATTTGTTCCATATGTTGGAAGAATAATTCCGCCGATTTTAAAAGTAAAACGAAATGAAGAAAGAAAAAAAAAAAGATATTTTTTATAATCATGAAAATATCTTTTCTTTAGGGTTTAGCTGATGAAACAGAATTTGTTCGTGATACAGCACTTAAAGCTGGTCAACGTATTGTTAATAGTTATGCTGAAACAGCTATATCATTATTTGTACCTGAACTTGAACAAGGTCTTTTTGATGATAATTGGCGTATACGTTATAGTTCTGTTTTATTACTTGGAGAATTATTATTTAAAGTATCTGGTGTAACAGGAAAAGCAACAACAGAAAGTGTTGATGAAGATGATAATTTTGGTACGGAGCATGGTTTACAATCGATAACACATGCATTAGGACGAGATCGACGTGATAGAGTTCTTTCAGGTAGAAAATGAATGATAAAAATGATTTTTCTTTTTCTTGTTTGAAGATAATTATTTAAATTAAATAGGTTTATATATGGGTCGATCGGATATTGCATTGACAGTACGACAATCAGCTTTACATGTATGGAAAACAATTATATCGAATACACCACGTACATTAAGAGAGATTTTACAAACTTTATTTACACTTTTATTGGGTTGTTTGGCAAGTTCAAATATTGATAAACGACAAGTATGTGTGAATAAATTAGATTTAATTTTTAAGAAATTTTTTTTAAAATTTTTTTCATGTTGTGTTTTTCAATTAGATTGCAGCAAGAACATTGGGTGATTTAGTTCGAAAATTAGGTGAACGTGTTTTACCGGAAATAATTCCAATTCTTGAAAAAGGTCTCGATTCACCACACAGTGATCAACGACAAGGTGTTTGTATTGGACTTAGTGAAATTATGGCAGCATGTAGTCGAGATTATGTAAGAAATAATTATCATTACTTCTTGAGTCTTGTATTTATCTATGAGTTTTTTTTCTATTTGGTTTTTTTTCCGCAGTATTCTAGTAACGTTACTCCTCTCAGGATATCCAACCTTCTAAAACGTGTTCTTTTTCATACTATGACGAATAATTTTCGATCGAACAGAGATTACAGTCTAGAACAGTTGTTTATACGGATATTTCCATGTGAAACTAATTTCTGTACTATTGCAGATAAAAGTACTTACGAGAAAACTTCTTCGGATGTCTCCTTGTGATTTTAATGATATTATGATCTATAAATATTACATAGTATTCTAATACAAATGATAAAAGAATTTGGATTCCTATTAAGACGTGATTATGCTATCGAATTTTTAAAATGCCTATTTTCGAGAAGTCTCTGTAGGGCGCCAGGTTTTTAGAAAACTTGGATTTTCGAATATTGATATGAAACATTTGTGCATATATAGAACTCAATTAGATAATCTTGTTTTAAAAGATTCTGAAGTTTTGGAAAAAAGCCTCTTCGAGATATGAAGCTTTCAAAAAATACATGCGGTATTCACTATTTATGACAAAGAGTCTCTATCTTGAAAGTCTCATATCTCGAAAAGACTTTTTCAAAACTTCCCAGATTTTTAAATGAAGCTAGTCTATCTAGTTCAGTTCTCTATATAAACGAACTTTCAGATCAAAATTTGACTATACAAGTTTTCCGAAAATCTGAGGTCCCTAGAAGATGCATATACATATTAAAACATCAATATCTTAATATAAGTACACTATATAATATCTATAGACAAAATATCATTGAAGTCGGAAGTGGACATTTGAGGATGTTCCTTCATTAGTTAAAAATCAATTTTAAAATCCATCAAACTCTTACTGCTTCCTCGAAATATTTTTTTCTTTCATTTTCGCATACTGGCCAATCTAAAGACCTATTCAACATATTAATACCGAATTTATAGATAGTGAATTTAAAGTATATTTGATGAGCAAGTACTTAAACAAGCAAATTTCCACACACAATTGTTCGTTTTCCAGAAATAAATCCTATTTACTTGTTATTAAATTGTATAATTTTTATAACAAAACAATTTTGTTTTTTATTACTTTAGATCATCGCATTTTCAAATACAATAATTCCAACAGTACGCCGTGCTTTACTTGATCCACTAGTTGAAGTTCGTCAATCAGCTGCTAAAACATTCGAAAATCTTCATTCAAGTATTGGTACACAAGCATTAGATGATATTTTACCATATTTATTAAATGTTATGCAAAAGGATACAATTCCAACTACAACAAATGGAGAAAAAACTCAACAAGAAGACGAAGAACAAGAACAAGAAGAAACCGAACGTGATTATGCTCTTGATGCATTACAACGTATAATGCAATTAAAATCTCGTGTTGTTTTACCATATCTTGTTCCACATCTTATTCAATCACCGGTTGATATTAAAGCATTAGCAAGTTTAACATTAGTTGCTGGTGATGCATTAGCAAGACATTTAAGTCGAATTATTCAAGCTGTTATTACACATATTTCCGAAGAAAAAGATCCTCAAGCTAAACAACAACATATGTATTATGCTGAACAATTATTAGCAGCTGTATGGATAAAATATTTTTTTATCAATAATTTTTGTTTTTGTTCTTAGATAAATGATCCTGATGGTATACAAGTTGTAATACGTGAAACACAAGAATTTTCACGTTCATCAAAAGTTAATATTCGTTTAGTAACAATTGATTTATTATTATCATTTTGTAAACAATCAAAAGGTGCATATCAAGAATATATTGATGATCTTATTCGTATTGGTATTAATTTATTTAATGATGAAAATGAACAAATACTTAATACAGCATGGGATTGTGTCGATGTTATTATTAAAGTAAGTTTTAAAAAAATTCTTTGCTTTATTTGTAAAAATAAAAACAAAAATATAGGATATGGATCAACTTGAATTACAAAAACGTTTACCAATTGTTCGACAAGCATTACGTATTGCACAATCCAGTAGTCGAGAACGTGGCCGACTAGCTGGTTTATGTATACCGAAAAAGGTTTTATTTTGAATCGAAAATTTGTTGTTTATTAAAAGTGCTTTTCTATAGGGTATTGGATGTATTTTACCGATATATAAAGAATGTATTCTTAATGGTCCTCCGGACTTACGTGAATCTGGTGCGAATGGTTTAAATGAAGCAATTAATCTTTCGGAGTAATGAAAAGTCAATGTTTCTTTTCGTATTAATATTTATAGTTTTTTGTTTATAGTGCTGAAGCTCTTAAATCATCAATTATGAATGTAACAGGTCCATTAATTCGTGTATTAGGTGAACGATTTAGTACGGATATTAAAGTAGCTATTCTTGAAACATTAAGTACATTTATGGGAAAAGTAAGTTAAAATTCTTTTAGAAATAGAGAATTCTGAAATAAAAAAAAAAGCAAAATAATAGAACTGTTTAATCTTTTGCTTTTATATCTACATAATATTATTTGATATCAAACATAAGATTAAAGCTAAAATATTTCATGTGAAGTAATTTCTATTATCGCTGAATGAATTGATAGACGAAAACGAATCTCGATCAAATTTGATTTGTTCTATACATAATATTTTATTGTAATTAACTAGGCCATCATTATCTCAGTGGAGTATGGATTAGAGTCTTCGTTTCACCTCTACCTACACTTTTCACTCTTGCAAATCATGATGAAGTCTGTTATCTATAATAAATCATATGGATTTTCAATTTTTCCTTTATATGCTATTTTGTGTGTATATTGAAACTGCTAATCATTATGCTAACTAGCATTGCCTATTTATCGTTATATGCATTGTCTCACAAACGACAATAAATATTAGTGAAATCCTTTCTCTGGTGCTAACAATGATTGCATTGTGTTCGAGCCCTTCCCTTCACAAAATTCAATATTGGGCCAGGAACATTCAAATCGTATGAAATTCTCAGAATATGTTGGGACTGTAATGGGGAGGCTATGATAAAATTATTAGCCGTATATCATTACTTTTGAAGGAGATATCAAACAAACAGAGATTGAACATAGCTGATTTGCGAATCCGAATTTCTCGGTGAGCACTTTTTTAAAATTTCTCCTTTTTAAAGGGAGAAAAGTTCCATATCTGAAAAATTGGCGCTCTAATTATAAAATTACTCTGTTATATAGCACAAATGAAAGTTAATTCAAAAAAGGCACTGTGTCATACCCTACATTCATTCTGAGAAGGTCTTTCAAACAAAAAAAAATAGGCTATTAGCTACAATGAAGCTTCTTTGAGAATTCTGAGATACGCGATCAAAAAAGCATAAACAGAGAAAAAACAAAACAAAAATCTACCTTTCCGTGCATGTATCTTAATTGTAGAAATAATTCATTCGTATTGGATAACATAAAAATATTATTAATTTAATTTTTCTACAGTGATGCTGTTATTTTATTTATATAAAGCTAGAAATCTACTAATCATGAATTCATTTTTGAAAAATAAATCATTTCGGTAGATGATATGTGGTTAAACACTTGTAAAGGTGGCTAGTTTTGGATTGAAATTAGGTCTTTCATTCTGAAGATCGTACCGAATTTATTAGTTCTGATTTCAAATTACCTATTAACCATGTCTTTCAATTGAAGTTGATATAATAAATAAAACGTTATAAATATATTTTAGGTTGGTGTACAATTAAAACCATTTTTACCTCAACTTCAACCAACACTTCTTAAAGGTCTCAATGATCCAGCACGTCAAGTTCGTGTTAAAGCTGGTAATGCTTTAGGATTACTAAGTCAAATTCATGTACGAATTGATCCAATATTTGTTGAACTTTTAAATGGATTAAAAATGAACGATGATTCATCATTCAAGTAAAATATTTCATCGAAAATTCTTCTTGTTTTTTAATACATTCATTTTGTTTTTACATTTCTATTATAGAGAAACATATTTATTAGCATTAAAAAACTGTTTAACAGCAGTTGCTTCAAAAATATCTGGCGATATAAAAAAACAAACTGAACAATCACTAATCAGTTGTCAATCAGATGAAAGTGATATTGTTCGACAATTAGCATCGAATTGCAAAGAAATTTTATTATCATCTAATTAAAGCTTAGACGAAGAAAAAAAAAAAAAAGAAGAAGAAGAATATATTAACATTAACACCAAATTTTGTTTTTCCATTGTTTTTCTTTTTTTTTAATATAACTTTGGTGTTTTGTTGAATATGATGAAATAAAAATCGAAGGCAAGGGTTTTTCAACGTTTAATAATATTTATTTATTCGATAGATATATCAAATCGATATTTAGTTTTAATAATAATAATTAACTTTGAAAAGAAAATAACAGAAAAACAAGATGTTTGCGTGACTTTAATTTTCATAATTTACAGACTCGTTGAAATACGAAGCATTATTAATGAGAAAATAGTTGTGTCATAGTAAAAAATAGATGACTACTCATTAGTATACAAAAATGGAGTTTATTCAATAGTAATGATGCATGTTAGACTGTTTTACCTTTAATGTATTGCTTGGGAAATATTTTTCGTAGTTGAATACGAACTTAAATAGCTGATCATTCAAACCGAATGATTGTAGAATATACATAACCTTTTAGGATTCGGTTAATTGTTTCTTTTTTTTTATAGAGTTGATAAGTCTTAAAAATAAAAATAAGACATTGTGATCAGTTAATATAATAACATTTTTTGTATAACAATTATATCAATAGTTTTCATTTCGTTAGATGTTTTGGTTTTACCACAGGTTGTATATCAATTTGAAATGATACATTGATAAAACAATTCAAATATATCTTTCATTATTTTATTTTATACAACATTAATTTTACAGATATTATGGCATTGTTTTTTTTTGTCATCTATTTATATCTTATGTAATAAAAATGGTCCATAAATAAAAGTAATAGACATCTGTTTTTTTGTTTTACCTTCATTCTTCAGCAATTGAAAAACCTTGTTTTAATTAGTTTTTATGCATCATTTTCCCATCTGTTAACCTTTAATTATCAATAATTAAGGCATGTCTCATACATTTTTACATGAAATATGAACATCCAGGAAAAAGACTATATTATATCAAATGTCGCGTAATATAATCACCTAATATAGAACAAGAAAAGCAACAAAAGAGTACGTTCTTTTGCTATATAAACGAAATCGGTTCGTCCTTTTAGGTTTTTTTTTGCTTTCGACATTGATAATGTACACATATTCTTTTACTATTCTATGTTTTTTTTTTATAGGGATATATGTCTAACGGACGGACAATGAGACCCATAGTTTCTTTTCTTCTTTTGCTTCTAAAGCGTTTTCTTACTGATAATTACTTGGTGAATTCAGAAGAAAGTGTTAAACTATGATAGAAACATATAACAAGTTTTTATCTAATGTTAACAGAGTACGTGTTTCATTGTAGGTTCGTTTTTATTTGATAAGAATTTGTATGTGCAATGGCAGTTAATGTAAAACAAAACATTACCTAAATATTTCAAAAAGATATTTGAGTCATTCTAGGATAAAAATGAATCAAAGAATAAATCAATTTGTAAAATAGTTGGACTTATTTGGATTGTTATTGAAACTAATCTTGTTGCAGGAAAGTATGTATTTTGTATCAAAATAAATTTCTATAAGAAATAATTATATTTTTCAAAATAGTATATTTGGATTTGGATCTTTATTCAGTGTATTACCTCATTATGGTATATATGAATCTCGTTGTAAAATAATATCTGAAATAATTGTTTCAAATGATACTAAAACTATAACAAAAGATTGTCAAGGACAAATTGATGAATATCAGGTTAAATTATGAATTAATTCAATTAAATAAATATGATTGATTTTAGTTTGCTTTTGCATTAGGTATTGGTTTTTATAATTTACCAGCTGTTGTTGTTGGAATTATTGCAGATTTGTTTGGACCACGTACTCTTAAATTAATTGCAATGTAAATAAATAAATATAATTATTAATGAATTTTAATACTCTTTATATTTCTTTAGTATTTTTCATTTAATTAGTTGGTTATCATTAGCATTTCTAGCACCTGGTAATAATTAAATATCAAAGATTATATTCAATATTTTTATTATTTTAAATTAGGTTATGATTGGCTTATTTTCTCGCATACAATATTTTCATCTCTAGCTGGAATGTGTGTTTTACTATCATCATTTACAATATCAGCAAATTTTACTAAGACACGAGGTTTAATTACGTAAGTCTTTTCTAGTTATAATTCGATATATTCTTATAATTTTATTTCTAGAGCATTGATATCTGGTGCTCAGCTTGGTGGTTCTGTTTGGTATGCAAATTTTCAAGTAAATTTTGTAATATTTGATATTTGTGTTTAAATGCTTTTCTTTTTTTGTTTTTTGGAAAAAAAAAAAGATTTTCATTGAGAAAAATTGGATTTCTTTATCGACATTAGCATTTATTTGGGCTTCATTTTCAATCTTGATGCTTGGTAGTGCAATATTTTTTCTTGACTGGCATTTCAAATGTGCTGATGCGTCGAATAAAACCAAATCCTCAACAAATGAAGATGGTGAAATTTTAGATTTAATTATTTGTTTTTATTATATTTCTTTTTTGTTTAGTTACAATGAGTAGATCGGAAGATTCTTTAGCTCGACATTTAACAAATCCAATATTTGTTGTTGTAACACTTTTTCTTAGTTGTCTTCTTCTTACTGTAGCATATTTACCTGTAGTTTGGTTTCCATGGGTTATGCATTTAACTGGACATGATTTAAATTTATGTCAGAATCAATTTTTTAAATTACTATCTCGATGTTATCGTTGTTTTTTTTTCTTTAGCTAATCGTTATACATTCGCGTTTAATATGAGTACAATATTGAGTATATTGATTGCACCAATATGTGGCTTAATTATTGATTATAAAGCCGATCGAGGTTTGTAGAAAATCGTGTTTTATTGTGAACCTCACGTATACTTTCGAAGAAAATAGTGAGCGTAAGTTTTAAGTCGAAGTTTCTCTGTCCACCCCCCCCCCCCTCCTCAATTACAGGCATTAACAATCAAGGAAAAAGGAGCTGAATGGAATTAACAACATCAGACTGACTTTTCTATAATCCCCACGGAAAAATTTTTCAAGAAAAAACCGCGGTTTCATAAACCGCGAAAGTCAGACTGTTTATGCGGTTTTTGAAACCGCGGTTAGACCTGCAAAAGCTCAGCTCGGACCGCGGTTTTTTTCGGAAGAATTTTTCCGTGGGTATTTTACAATCTTCATTGAAATGTTTCTTAAATAGTGCAGTTTTTTATTTTTGCGCAGATAAAAATTTATATTCTGAATATCAAGAAAGATGAGTACCGATGCATTGTTTTTCCAAAGTTGTCATATACTCAACATAAAAAGAGTGAATTAATGAAATTAGAACTTTAGAAAATAATCAATATCAGTGTTTGTAGATTGATCAAGATATATTACAGTGCGCTAAGAACAACTGCTGTAGATTTGATGAATATGTACAACAGTTGTATTTGCCATTTAAATCAATGGTTAGAATATTAATAATGTTCAATTAGGAAAAACAAAAAAGATTCTGTTTGAAATACAGAAATAAATAACACAAACTTTTAGTTTGCTGATCAATTATTTTGAAATAGAACTATAGTCTATGAGAGATTGTTTACCTCACTTATTTTGTATTAGTTCATTGAGGGTAAAGAACATATATGGGCTCCACATTTCAGCACTAAAGGGGCTGCGCTAATGAGATTTTTTTTAAATAATTTTTTCAAGGTCATTCTCAACGAATGCTTAATGTTTCTATTGTACAAACAACAACTTGGCTAGCAACAATAATTCTTTGCATTGTTTGTATGTTCCGATCAATAGCTGCTCCTATCGCTGCTATATTAATTTTCCTTTTTTCACGTACAATGCTCGTTGCTGGATGTCAAGCAGTTATAACTACAACGTAAACATAGAATGAAATTTTGTTCGTTAATTTCGATGCTTTTTTTTTCTCAAGATTTCCATCTCAATATATTGGTACTCTTCTTGGAGTAATGTGGACAACAGCAGGCATTGTTAGTTTTGTTACATATGGTTTAACACGTCTTGCAACAAATCCAATATATGCTTGGAGAGTAAATATTATCGATTAAAGATTTGTTCAAAATATCTATTTTCATTTGATTTTAGGCATGGTTAGTAATTTTATGTTTATGTGTAGCGATGGGTGGACATGTAATTCAACTTTGGAATTTATATTTAAAATCAAAAAAAGAAACAAAAAAGCAAATATCAACAAATAAAGAAGAAATGAAAACACTTAAATCATCGATTGATGATTAGACGTGTTTCTTTTTGTTGTATTCTGATCTCAATGAAATAAAACATAATAAACATCAATATCAAATTTCAAATATTTGTTAGAAGGTTTTTTTTTATTTTGTTTTGATGTTTACTTGACACCTTGTGAGAATAGATACAATGTATTATATGGATGTGCAAAAAGAACGATAAGACAAATTCTTTTAATACTAATTGAAAAAACAAAGTCTAGCATTGAATTACCTCGTCATGCATTTTTTGATTTCATGAATAAGAATGATATGTGGAATAGAATGTGAGGAACAAAAAAAAGAATTACGTGATAAAAACTATTTTATAACCACATACAAAGTTGATTCCTTCTTTCAAATTGTATTACATTCGAATAGACGAGACAATGTCGAGAAATACATTATTACTATTCATTATTTTTTATTATTGTGTAAGTTTAATAAATAAAATATTTATTTTAAAGAATTTTATTTAATTATAGAATGCTGCTCCGTCAACATCATGGTCAATAAGAATACCATTTACCAATGGCACTCGACATATTATATATATACCTCTTCCATCAGCAATTTCAAGAGAAAAAATAGTTCGAAATTTATTTATTTAAAATATTCTCAATTTTATATATATTATTTAGAATTATTCTCCTTTATCATGTGATAATTGCTTTTATTTTCGTACACTGAACGCAGGAAGTCGAATGGTAATTGAACCTTGTGGTGGATCTGAATGTGTTGCAATAATCAAAAGTCCTAACTTACGAGAAATTCAACCAAGTAAAAACTATGATTTTGAACAATGTGGAGTAATTAGTAAAAAAGATTATTCAATTGTAAATAAAGCATTACAATTAAAAGTAAGCACAAGTGTTAAAAACACTTTACGTCCAGCTGAATATCCTTGGCTTGTAAGTCGTTTACATAATCAAATATTTCTAATTCATTCACACAAAATCTTTTTATTCTTTTTTAAGGTTCGTATAGAAAGTCGTTCGGATGCTTTATCACGTACAGTAACACTCTGTGGTGGAACACTTATCCATCCACAATGGGTCATAACAGCTGCTCATTGTATGTTTGATAGTAAGAAAAATAGTCTTTATACAACCAGTGGTATTGATTTATATATGGGTCATTATGATCGCACAAGTAGTAGCTTAAATGAACATAAAGCAAAACCTATTTTATATTTGATTCATCCAAAATTTCGTATTAGTGTTTCATCGCCAGCACCAGTACACGATTTAGCATTAATTAAATTAGAAAAACCTGTACCCTTATCACATTCAATAGGTGTTGCCTGTTTACCAGAGCAAGCAGATAAATTAGGTGATGGTACATTGGCATTTACAGCTGGTTGGGGTCATGCATCACCAGATTCAACAGCTGTCAATGAACCTCGAAAAGCAAGATTAAAAATAGCACCGAGATCATGTCGAAAATTAATGATTAATCCTAGTTTACATATATGTGGAAGAAATGATCGCGGAAATAATATTTGTAGTGGAGATTCAGGTACTGGTTTAATGGTACGTGCTGGTACTAAACAAAATAGAAATAGAACACAATGGAAATGGTATATATTTGGTGTAGCTAGTTATGGCCTTGAAGAATGTTCACAAAGTGTTAATCATGATAATGCATTTGCATCTATTCCAACTGATATTGACTGGATACATGAAGTTCTAGATAAATATTAATGTATCTATTGTTCTTTTTTTGAACCTTTAAAAAAAATAAAAATTTTCTCTTTTTATCACTTATTGAAAAAACAAGAGGCACATGTTCGATACAATATTAGATGAAGGTCGACGATTTATAGTAGCATTGACGTAAAATATAAAAGAAGAACGAAAGAGCTTTGAAGCGTATCAATAATATATTTATCGTATGCCTTATTCATGGCCGTTTGCTTTTTCTCTCTCAATAGGCTTGTTATCGCCACCTTCTCATATCATCATAATCACACAGGGACGCCTTGATTGATTTCAAAACATCATTATTTCGTATACTGTGAATTAGCGAGAAAGAAAAAAAAACGTAGAGAACGAAGGCTTTTGTTATATTAGAAGGACTTATTCAATCTAATAGCTCGTACTATAATCGTAACGTCGTCTCTTTTCTTCCTTTAGGTCGTGCATATCATAGTCGACATATCAGTTAAGTAATTTTTTTTCGTAGACAAACGTCAATGTTGAGTGGGGAACGAAAGTCACCACAGTCACAAACTGAGTCAGTTCTATCTGGCTCTATACGTTCAGGACCGGTCAATGAGATAAATGCACCGTTATCTCATCATTCATCGGTTTCTGAAGACGATCATCATGATCACTGTAAGTATTAATGAATTACCAGATATTGAATACTGTCTACAACTTGAGTTTAAATGATTTAGTCGTACTAGCACAACCAAAGCAACAAATACCAGCAATCCCTATTCCATCGGCTTTTACTCATATGTCAAACTCACGTTCAACATCAAAAAGTAGTACTCCTGATGCAGTAATCTCAATATCAACTAAAAATACTACAAATGTACCAAAAAAAACTAATATCACATCTGTTAAACAACCTACTGTACATCGTATAACTCGCGATGAAAAGAAAAAAGTTTCACAAATCACTCATAATCAAATCAAAACACAATCCAAATCAAAACATTCAACACCAGGATTAACCTATGTTCGAGTTAGTGCTCGTGATATAGAAAATGAAGAACCAAGATCAACATCTGCTATACATGTTCGTGGCGGAAGAAAACATCGAAGTATTTTTGAAAAAGTTGATTTACATAGTGGACGTACTACTTATTTGGGTTGTGGTTCATTTTCACAATTGGAAGATTGCATAAGTGATTGTTTAAAACGTGATCGACGTCATAAAAATGTTGAAGTTTATGCTACAAAACGTGATGATCCATTAAGATGCTTAACACGTGCTTCTATACTTGACGATTATTGTTATGATGGAATTATATTACCAAAATGTCATAAAATTCGTTCGAGAAGTTGTGATCGTTATGATTGCGATTGTTGTGTAATTCGTTCGAATAGTTGTGATCGTGTATGTTGCGATTATCGTGTAGTTCGTTCAAGTGCTTGTGATCCTTATGATTGCGATTATTATAGAAAATGTGCAGGTGAACTTTCACTTCCTGAAATTCGTGAAGTTAATGATGCTCTTGACAAATGTGGTATACCTATTTTTTCACATCATCGTCATTATCCTGATCATCATCAACGTCCTGTTCGTGATGTTGTTTCGGCATGTGAACTTCTACTTTCAGATCCAACATTTGCAGCATATAGACATGGAAGTCCAGCTGTATCACATGCTTGGGATGCCATGCGTCATTATCAACCGCATCCAGACGCTCCTGGCTATGGATCTTCAGCTGTACGTGCTGTTTCATCACGTCTTTTTCATCCCGATCAACAACCATACAGTCCAGTTCAAAATGTTTCATCACAGATATTTCATCCTCCTCCTCCTCAACCACCCCCATACAATCCAGCTCCAGGTGGTCCACCGAATATTTTTAATCCTCCTCAACAGCCTCCATACAATCCAGGTCAATTTGGTCCACCGAATACTTTTAATCCTCCTCAACAACCTCCAGGTGGTTCTGGTCCAAGTGTTTTATCACGTCTATTTGGTGGTGGAGGTGGACAACAACCACCACCATCAATGCCACCACCATCAATGCCACCACCAATGCCGCCAATGCCACCCCCACAGCAACAAGCACCTCCATCCGGTGCGGGTCAAAGTGTTTTATCGCGTCTATTTGGTGGTGGTGGTGGGCAACCACAATAGGCCGGGCAATAATCAGTATATATATTGATCGATTTCGTATCAATGAAAACATATATACATACATACAAACAGACAGACACATTTTTAATAACATTTTTTTTACTTAGATGAAGCATATTCATAAACAAAACTATGTACTAAATATTGTTTATTTTTTCATGTAGACTCAATGAAGTAAGAAATAAAGTAAGTAGATAGATATAAAACATCAATCTTGAATTACCTCATTAAAAAATATTTTATGTCTCTATAAAGTAGTGTATCAATAAATCAACACAAGCTAAAGAAGGTTGTTATAAATATTTCGGTTAGGCGAACTTTTGGAAAAAAAACTATTAGCTCAATCACTGTGAATTTAAAATGTGAAACACAATGGAATTTCTCTTGTTAATCACAGGAGCATCGTTTTATTCTATCCATTTCAGAGCATATTTCTTTATCCTCCTTTTACATTATCCTTGAAAAGTGCAGTAAGAAAGTGTTTCATACTTTATAATGATATATTATTAATATATGGCCTTTGATCGTATATCAACGTCGGTCACGGTATATGATGTAGAGAGAGAAAAAGGTATTGATAAGGTGTCTGCCATAGTATATGGAGTAGAGATAGAATCGACTCGATTTTGTCACAATATTAACCGAACCCCTCTCTGTTATGAAGAAGGAAAGATGAGTGAATCTAAATTTTTATCTGCATATTTCAACATAACTTTTAAATCATGTTTCATAAACATAATCATACATAATATTGTCATAACCAACGAAAGTTAGTTATCACTGTCAACATACACTAGTATGGTAGTATAGACACTACTTGAATGTTTTTCGACTATGTCTGCTGTGTACGTTATAGAAAAAGAAATCCTTGATTTAGTTTGCATAACGAAATGATGCTATTTAATATATATCATCTTATATCTTGAATAGATATAAGATGCTAACAGCACTCTTTGCTGTTTCATATTCTTAGTAGCTCAAGAGTATATTAATGACATGGTCATTACTCTTTTGTTGACATTTGATGATTTTATATTTTTTACGATGGTTTTGTGGACAAGGACATCATCGACAAATATAATGCTGATGCAATTACAAATGTTTTTTTTTTAATTAAACAGACAGTTTTATTTTTCTCTTTAGCATAAAATCATTGTGTGAACGCTTGTTTGATGTTTCTGATATCGTAAGTCAATGAAATATATGTACTACAAATGATTAGTATTTAATAATATTTCTATCATCTCTGCATGTTATGAGTATAAATCATCACCTTACTTTTCGCAATATCTATAAACATCGTACAATTTCAGAGGATTTCTATAATAATGAAATAGTGTATGTTATAACAGAAGATACTGAAGCAGAGCAAAAAAGTAACGACGTTAGTTTCATTTTATTAAAAGCATTTTATCTTTCTTTATTTACTTTTATATGCTGTTCTGTCTGAAGAAATCTCATTTTGTCTAAAGTCATTCCAACAAAATATGTCATTGAGAAAGAATGAATGTTCTGAGTCCGATTAATAGATACTTTCCAATCTTTTTTTAGTGTATCGCATTTCATGAAACCTCCAGTAAATTCTCTTGTATCACCGTAAATAGGTTATCTGCCGATGCAAATTGGTATTCTAATGGCAACTAGGGATTTTCTATTCGATGTTTCTCGCTGTATCTACAAAAGAAACGGATCGAATGGAAAGATCTATGCAAGATGTGGGAATACATATATTCTCGACGTTTTTTTAGGTAACTGTTATATCTTACAAAAGAATGGATTATATAACTGAAAATAGTGAATGTTATATTCTAAGTAATTACATAATCAATTAATTCAATCATTTTCTAGACCAACAGATATTATAATCAATACGACAGTTAGAAGAATAACATATGATTTTTGAAAATTTCTTTTTATTCAAAATCTTTGGAACTTTTATTTATCGATTGAGAAAAAAAGTGAATTTCATTGAAGTTCAACATGTTATAAATGATAATTTTTATGATCTAATTCATATAAGAATCGATCTTGAAATGAAAAATATCGCTAATTATCTACTATTATTGCAAGAAGACAAATATTTGTTTCTCACTAAATCTAAACATTTTATGCAAAAATAGTAAAATAAAATGTTGCCTTCACATTTCATTACAGACACGGTTATAGAAAGAAAATTATCTTTCTATCATTTAATATAAAATTTTGTACACTTTTGAGCTGTTTATAGTTTGTTATTTCATGAAGCATTCATAATGACAACGATAAGATAAAAAATAATGAGAAATATTCTTACAAGAAATGTTCGCAGGTTTTTATTGATTTATAAGAGAAATCTCATAAAACAATAGTTTACTATACTCAGCGAGTGTTTATAGCATGAACGAAAAAAGTTTTCAGCAACACAAGTGGTCATTCAATAACAAAATATTTATTGTTGAAAATTAAACAACTAATAAAGTTCATTGATAATCAGAGTAATATAGAATTTCTCGATGTTAACAATTAACTATCAGTTCTCATTTTGGTCAAAAGATGTTGTTAAAGATCAGAAAAAATGTTTAACAATCATTGTTAAAGGCAAATCGTTTGTTGAGGAATTTCTGTGATAATTTAATAAAAGAGAACTTTTTCCTTTCTAGCACTGTGTCTATAAAGATGTATAACTTCTGCATTATATATTATGTATTTTAATCTGAGTGAAAAAGAATTGATTATCAAAGTTCGTCCTTAATCATAGAATATTAAACATCGTCATACAATCTCAGAATGAATTCAGTACATTATCATCAAGATAGATAATTTCTTAAATGATTTCTTTTTATAAAAGATAGGTCGAAAATTTTAAGACAATATATTTGTTAAGTTTTGACTCTCTTGAAAGTGTTTTCGAGGAGTTAAATACTATTGATTATTACCAGCATATTGTGCACTTTCCGAATATGGGCTTAGAAATTTTATCTCAGTTTATTGTTCATTTTAATTTGCTTGAAAGTATCGCAGACAAGACAAAAACAATGAGTAATATTTTAGGGGTTTAATAGCTTAGATTAAATGATAAACCAGTAGTAGGTTTTTCCTAACCCTGATAAGTTCATTTTCGAAGGTTACAAAAATCATCGAGATCGTGCAAACACTTCTTTACAAAACGTTATAATCAATTAAGCTGTGGTTTTTACCAAAGTGAAATCATAGACACTTCGCTGACAGCTTCTTTTTATCCAAAACGATTTTTTCAAAAATGAGAATTTAAGAGAAAAGAAAATTGAAGTGACCTGTAGAAAAGCTCCAATGTTACATTTTGTATAAAAGTACTATGATTTCAAGTCGTTTAGATTTTTCGATTGAATAAATCATAGTCCACTATCCATATTCATATATCATACTTGAATACAGCATTTAAGCATATCTTTACTTTGAATCTTTGAATACCACCAACTTTACGAGTACAGTGCAATTTTATCTGAAGAGTGTTCTCGAATAGTCTTTAAAACAATTTTTGAGGAAGTATTTGATTATTACATACTTGCAGAATTAGTGATATTCAAAACATTTAAAATAAAGATATGCTTAAATGTTGTATTTAAGTATGACATATGAATTAGTATAGTGGACAATGATTTATTCAATCGAAAAACCCAAATAACTTGAAATCATAATATTCTAAAAATCTAAGTCTTCTGCTAAGAGTTTTATAATAATTTTTCAAAAAGTATGGTATCTTGTAGTTCCCTAATAGTCAGTACGGAAACGAACCCTTTATAATGGATATTGTACTCACTGAGCTCTAAAAAATGGTAAATACCCGACTCAAACCGGAGCGTAACATCTGGAGACCGTCCATCGTAAGATATACTCAAGAAATATCTCGTCAACATTTCATATTAATGTATTCTCTCGGCACAAGATAATGAAAAGCATCTTAAATTTGGTAGTTTTTCCTAAGAAAACAAAAATCTCAATTTCTTTCAAATTAACAATTTGTAAAAACATACTTTACTATTATGTATTTTTGAAAACGAAGGAAAATACCGTGATGCTATATCAACATAGAATGTATGAAGTTGATGGAAACGATTATCAAGTAGATAAAGACAATCGTTAATAGATATTACTTTGACATACAATGTTAGCTAAGTCGAAGAGAAAACAGTTGGAAGTGACAGGTCGAATAATATTTGTTCATCACAAATAAAAGTTGGATCAAATTTTAAATATTGTAATTTAGGGAAATTCATAAAAATATTTATAAATATAAATGTATTTATATCATCTCTGTAAAAACCCTCTTTTTTTAATATTTCCAATGACAAGTGATAAAATTTGAGTTTTGAATATATAAATAAAAGCAATGTTGTCTAAACATGAAGACAGAAGTGGTGAGAAAATTAAGAATTCTCATAGTATCTATGGTAACATCATAGCTGGTGTTCCCCGTCAGGAAAAAGTGTTCCACCATTTAATATTGGTCGATATTACATGGTGGAACACTTTCATGACGGGGAACACTAGCTATAATGTTACCATACATTCACGGTGGAACATCTGATATAGAAATATCAAAAATATATATCCCTAAAAAATGTTGAAAATGTTCCGGATGCCATTAAATGACTCTATCAACCAGTAAGATGTGAAGTTCAAGATTAGAGATGAAGCATGGACTGATATCCATATCCACATCCTACCCACTAGTAGCGTAAGCAGAGGGAGTTAGGGGAGGCTGAGCCCGCCCCCCCCCCGCCCCACGATGGTCTCACATAATGACTGAGCCCTCTAGACATTTTTTCTGGCTATGTCACTACTACCCACACAAAGAAACATATAGCCTTGTTGTTGATTTTGCGCCTGAATATTTTTGATCTACTATTATTTTTGTTGGTCTGTTAACATGGATTACTTTTCTGTATACAATAAAATATCTTCATTTTACTGGCCGAAAATGTTGAAATAAACTTTTTTCGACAAATTCATATGATTGCAAGGGATTTTCTGCTATAGAG